TATATATACATACCCACCCATACACACACACACACACACACACACACACACACACACTCACACACATATACATATATATATTTATGTAAGAAAGAAGACTGAGTAAAAGTTAAATATCCCATTCTTGACTCCTCTCCCACTAAATCAGGAGTTTTCAAACTGAATTGTGCAAAGCACCAGGGTTCCCTAGAAGTGGAAGGTAGCTTTTCCAGAGAAGTCAAGTGAGCAAGACCCCAATGATCCTCAACCCCAACACCACCTCAACTAAAGGGGCTCAGCTTGCATGTGTCTTACATACTGGATTTTAAAGTTTCTGAAGCAAGGGTTCTAATACTAAAATGAACTTTGAAAAACACAGGATTAAACTATTTTAAAGATATTATCCAGCTCTTAAAATGTATGTTCCTTGTCTATTGAACCAGATCCTTATATTTGCTATTACATTTCATCAGGTTCCCATAGAATCTCCCTTGATTTCACCTTACCTCTAGCTCCAGATCCTGAGGTTCCATTTCTGAAAGTGATATCACAACAATTTTGGTAACTTTACAGACTTCATGGTCTCCTGGGAGTTTGCCCACCAATGCTTTCTGCCGAATTAGAATAAGCCACCATGGGAGATCTGAAAGAGAAAAGTTGTATTAATGTCTGGTATTTATAGAGTATTACCGTCCTGGCAAATTGAAGGTGAATGACCTAATGATAACAAAAAATGTATCAGATTTTAAACTTTTTAAAGTAAAACACAACAAAGATACAAAAATAGCCCTTATACATGAAGAGATTCAATCTCACACAAAGAAAAATGTAAATTAGAACAACATGTGATGCCATTCTCACTCATTGGATCAGGGATAATTAAATGTTATGACAACACGTTTGCTGGTAAGGCTATAGGGAAACCAATACTCTCTCTCATACAACAGTGCCGATGGGAATACCAACAGACACAACTCTTCTGAAGGGAAATTTAGCGATACCTAATAACACAATATGCACACTTACCTTTTAACCCAGCAATCCCACTCTTGGGAATTTACCCTGAAGATACACCTCAACAACAAAAGTATATACTCTCCAGCCTATTCATTGCAGCAGTCTGTAATTGCAAAATACAGTATAGGAACAACCTAAGTGCCCATACACAAGAGAGTGGTTGAATAAACTATGGCACATCCATACAATCAAGTACTATGCAGCTATAAATAGGCCATTTCACTATCTGTTATCATTAAACATTAACTGAGGATCTACCATGAGCTGGGAAACTAATCAGACATAGATCAAAGTTACAAGGCATCTAATGCATAATAAACCAAACACATAATAAAGTTTATGATTCATAATAAACAGCTGAATGCCAATAAATATTTTTTGCAGTACTTTTATTGAATGTCAAAGTGTTCTATGAACTGATCAGGAATGATTCCTGGATGCATTAGTAAGTGGATAAACTGGATATATTATTTACATATAATGTGACTATTTGGTTTATACATGAGGTATCTCTCAAAAGCTCATGTGTGAGACAATGTAAGAATTTTCAAAGATGAAATGAATAGATGATAGCTGTAACCTAACCAATAGATTAATCCACTGATATGGATTAACTAGGTGGTAACTGTAGGAAAGTAGGATGTGGCTGGAGGAAGTAGGTCACTGGGGGTGAGACTTTAGGGTTTATATTTTGTCTCTGGTGAGAAAAGCTATTCTGCTTCCTGGTTGCCATGTTCTGAGCTGTTTTCCTCCGTCATGCCCTTCTGCCATGATGTTCTACCTCATCCTGGGTCCAGAGCTATGGAGTCAGCCAACCATGGACTGAACCTCTGAATCCTCCTCTATGGTTCTTGTCATGTCTTTTGGTCACAGCAATAAAAAAAGCTAGCTTTAAAATGGCTATACAGTCAGCTTCCACATAATGAGTCAGTCCATGACAATGGTCCCATAAGATTATAATGGAGCTGAAAAATTCTTATCACCTAGTCATGTCATAATGTTATAGTGCAGCATGTAGTCACATGTTTGTAGTGATGCTGGTGTAAACAAACCTAGTATACTGCTAGACATATAAAAATATAGTATATATACAGCTAGGTGGTACCTATTATTCCAGCTATTTGAGAGCTGAAGTAGGGAAAATGTATGTTCAAGGATGGCCTGGGCAATTTAGTAAAATCTTGTCTTAAAATTAAAAAAAAAAAATGTTTAAGGGCTAAGGATCTAGCTCAGTGGTAAAACATCTCTGGTTCAATTCCCAGTAATAGAAAAAAATACAATTATGAACAGTACATAATACTTGATATGTTTGATAAATGACTATGTTACTAGTTTGTGTACATACTATGCTATACTTATTTTATTTGGTTGGTTTTTGTTTTGTTTTGGTTTTGGTTTTTTGGCAGTGCTGGTAATTGAACTCAGTGCCTTGTGCATGCTAAGCAAGCATTAAAGAAACTCTGGAAAGCTTCACTAATAGTAACAGAGTTTATGTATTAATAAACAAATGATTACTATGTATAAAATCCCCATTGTCTGCATAAAAAGGATACCACAAAATTCCGTACCTAATGTCTTGAACATCTTTTCATCACACTATTTAGAGTCTTCATTCAGTTTTTCAAAAATATAGTACATAATATTTTATTGTACAAAATTACCATAATTTATTTAGCCTTTTTTTCAACTTGTAGAATTTTAGATCACTTCAATTTTTTTTCCATTATAAATAATGCTACTTGGGGAAAATCTTGTACATATATAACTTCCTATTTTTTTTTTGTAGATGAACACAATGCCTTCATTTTATTCATTTTTTTAAAAATATTTTTTAGTTGTAGATTGACACATTACTCTTTGTTTTATTTATTTATTTTTATGTAGTGCTCAGGATTGAACGCAGTGCTTCACACATGCTAGGCCAGCACTCTACGTTCGTTTTCATGTGTTGCTGAGGATCAAACCCAGTGTCTCACTAGGCAAGCACTAGGGCAAGCACTCTATCACTGAGCCACAACCCCAACCCTCTTTTAATTCTTGAAATGTATCAATATTAGTGAAAATATGTAGCTATCTGGAGTGCTGTTTGAAGTAATAATCAAAATTATCCTAATGGAATGAAAAGGGAAATAATGCATTGAATACTGAGTTGTTTTCATGCAAATTAATTCACTTTAGAAAAATAAAACAAGCATAACCTCATGGAAAACAATAGTAATCTCTAGTCTGGTAATTATTTTGCTTTAGGTTGAATAAAACACCACTACTTCCCTGAAAGCCTGAGAAATCCAGCAGAAATGTGTCTGTTAAGTTACATGGTTAAATGATCCAAATATAGTTTTTAGACTTTGAGTTTTAAAATAAGACAAATGTGAAAGTATAGCACCACTACTGTTTAGCAACCCCAGTATACATTAGGCACAATATTATGATAAAAAAAATTAAAAAGCATCAAAGCTATTTTATCAATTTACATTACCCACCTGGAAAAGAAACTTGGTTCTGCTAAAGTTTCGATGTTGAGATTGGGATACACAGTTTTACAAAGAATCAAAAGGTAATTTAATCTAGAAAGATCTGATGGCATAAAGATGTTTTTTTCAAGGTTTTAACCTATAAAATGGGAAGGACGTCAATTTTATAACACTGTTCTCCAGGAAAAGAAAGACAAGAAAGTCTAACCTCCCTAGCAAGATAAGAAAACCGATTAGGAAGCAGGTATCTTGAAAAACATGAACAATAGAGCAAGCTAAAACAATAGCCCTAGAAGAGGCTGAATAAAGCTCAGTATTGAACTTTACAATAAATTATAATAATAATTGCCCTATACAATTAAAAGGGGATGAAGATATTTAGGACAAAAATTTTCATTCAATTTGGGGAGACAAAAATGTCTTCTTCTGTTCTAGTCAGGTTCCCAAAGAAACAAACCAGCAGAATACTTGTAGATATACCTAAGAGGAGATACATCACAGGAATTGCTCAAGAGATTACAGGAGCAAAGAAGTCCTTCGATGTGTCATCTGCAAACTGGAAAACCACTAAAATTGATGGTATAACTCAGTCTAAGTCCAGAGAAGCCAACATATAAGTCCCAAGTCCAATTCCAAAGACTGAAGAACCAGGATAGTTTAAGATGAAAGGCCTGAGAACCAGGAGCTCCGATGGACAGGAATAGATGGATGTTCTGTCTCAAAGAAAAAGAATTCACTCTTTTCCCATCTTTTTGTTCTATTCCAGCCCTCAATGGATTGGATGATGCCTACCTACATTGGTGAGGGCAGAGTTTTATTCAATCTACCAATTCAAATGCCAGTCTCTTCTGGAAACACTGTCAGACACACACCAGAAATACTGTTTTAATAGCTATCTGGGAATCCCTTCCTAGTCAAGTTGACACATAAAATTAACCCATCATATCTCCCTACTCATGACCTCACCCCTAGGAAGTATTGCATCTACATATTTCTAAATAAGGTTATCCATCCTTACTTAGAAAAAAAAAAGGTTATTCATCCTATTGTCATATAGAAAAGATATGCATTTATTCAACAAGGCATCTCAGCAATCATTTTTATTAAATGTTAATAATATAAGGAATATATAAATATATTCCATTTTTTAAAGTTTTAAACATTACAGATAAAACTAACGTCCCTTTGGCCACTATTAACTCTATGGAAATTCTTTAGTCCAAACCCCACTATATTAATTCTCTCATATAAGCAGAACAGAAGAGTAAATGGTTACCATTCTTGGCATTAGTCCTTAAGAGTTAAAAATTACTTGTAACCATAACTTATTATTATATAGGTTCTATTTTCACTGCCTTTTGAACACTTTCTAATCTAACTGTCTACAAACTTTTACATTATAAACAAAGGTAAAAATAAGAAGAGAAGATGTGTTTGCTAATGATTCTCACGTTTACCTCCTTGGTGTGGCCCAATACTACAGGCTAGATTCCTGAGGCCAGCAAGTTATATCTCCTAGACCATCAAAACAAGAGTACTCAACTTCCTCAGCATTCATATAGCTGTGTGATTATGAGAGCCAGCACAAGAGAATTTATAACTGTAAGGACATGCTAATAAAGACTACCCAAAGACAAAGGTAGATATTAGCTACTCCAAAGTCCTTTTGCAACATAATACTCAAAAAATACTCAAATAAGATTTATTTATTTATTTAATAAAATAATGAATACTCAAATAAGATTTAATTTGTTTAAGGGTTTCTGTTGTTTATGCCTTAAAGAGCCACAGAAGCCTCTCTACATTTGCACCAAGTGCTGGTAAGAAAAAGAGATATTATACTCTGCTCACCTTTCCTTCTTTTGTTAAGTTGCCAGTAAGAACACTTGCTTGTTTCCCTATCGTTTCAAATTGATATCTAAACTAAAAAATGTAAGCCAAATAACTCACTGTTCTCTATATATTTTGAGGTTATGCTTCAGTATATATAATTTTTTCTTTTTTTTTTCAGTGCTAAGGATCAAATCCAGAGCCTCATGCATGTACTCTACCCCTCCAACATGAGCTAAATCCCCAACCCAGCTATAAAATTTGTTATATCATTCTAATGACTTGAACATTATTATCTGAAAAGTCTCTCTCTCTCTCTCTC